CTACGGGCTCTTAATCGCTAGCTCACTTTTGAAAATTTATTTTTTGTGTAAGTGTTTTGAAAATATTTTGCAAAGCCAAAGTACGGCTATCTTTACAATGATTCTTGTATCAAACCTCAAGAATGCGTACAAAGTGTTTTAGAAAATATTTTTGAAAGCGATATGTGAAAATGTTTTTTAAAAAGGTTATGAGCGAGCGATTAACAGTTTTACCCACTCAACGTCGTTCTTGTTATTTTCCTTCTCCTTTAGAGAAAGTGATATTCATACCATTAGTTGGTAGGTAGCCCTATCTATTGGATGTGAAGGGACAATCAAAGGGTCACCGTATGGTCATTGAAGGCAACATATAGAGATACTTTAGCAATTTATTGGAGGGACTAGATCATTTTTCGTAGGAAACGTCGAAGGGTCATCGAGGGACTATGATCTTTTATTCGGAGGGACTTTGCTAAAGAATCTCTACTTTTGAGGGACATGACCATTATTTCAGAAGGCAACAAAGAGAGGTTACCCTAAAGGTGCGAGTGTGAATAATGTTTGTTTTCAGTTATTTATCTTAAAATTTAGGGTTTGCTAACAGTTGTTTTTATCTTTCCATACACGCCTAATTACCAACAATATAAAATATAACATAAATATAAAGGTTCGGAAAGTAAATCCTAAGCTATTTTAGGGCTTTGGGGAAGTTACATAAGAATGAAATGCGGAAAGAAAATCCTAAAACTATTACATACTCGGAGCAATTACATAATAGAAAAAAAAACGAAAAAATATAAATCTAAGTTATTACATAGGGAATGCGCGACTTATACAATTGATTTAGGGAAATAGGAAATAGGAAAATAGAAAAGAAAATGTTTTTGGTGATTTTTTATGAGGAGAATAGTTTATGATAATAATTAATTAAAAACCTAAAATTCTAATTAATTTAAAAATTAAAAAAAGGTTAATTAATTATTTAATTAAAAGGTTAATTAAACCTAATTAATTAAGGTTTAAAAAAAGGTTTATTAATAATTAATTAAAATAATTAGGGTTAGGGGAAGAAAAATCAAGGAAAAGGGTTAAAAAATAGAGAAAAATATTGCATGGGGTGGATGTTAAACCCACGCCCTCCTGCCTTTGCCTTGTATAGCTTGCCATCAGGCCAAGCGTTGATTGGTGTCTGAAGGATGAGTGCTACACAAAATATGTTAAACCAGCATAAATTGGAAAATATAAAAAAAGGTTGCAAAAGGCATGGATCGAACTCACGCCCTTATAGATCAATGCCTTAATGAGCGCGCTCTTGTCACTGGGGTGGCTGTTACATCCGTAGTAGAATGAAACCGAATAAATATAAAATAAAAGCAAATGAGTGGGCCGGAGAGGCGCCAGAGCCCTTGCTCCGGTCGTCTTCTCCGGCGAGCCTGTTTCTTAAACCTGTAAAATAACAACTGTTAGTGATCCAAAGGGGCCTTACCCCCATAATTTGACCCTTGCGAGTTTAATGGTGGCCTTAGTTTAGGATAATTCTCCCTGCATAATGAGATACGAAGAAAACATTTTAAATCGGTTCAAGAATGGTGATCCCTCATCCTATCGTTACAGGACTCATGTGATGGGTTAAACCTATATGGTTTTGTCTCAGAAACACATTGCACACGTTAGTTTTGATCAAAACAACATAAAAAGATTAAAACACGATTTTGAATAATGTGTGAAACCTCGGCGATGCATGAATGCATGTTTCGGGCCCTTTTGATCATCAAGCACGATAAAGACTTACTCTGCAATGTCTTAGGGATTGATTTGAATGGTTATTTGTCCTTGAGGATGGTTGTATATAAGGGTTTAGATTTTCCCTAGTTTGACAAAAATTTGAGATTTGGAAGGTGTGTTTTCGTCCTTATTGTCTGAATATGATGGCTATATATAGATGAAGATTAGGTCAAGGAGAATGGGCTTGGACCTTGTACGAAAAAAATTTAATTTTGCTTGGAAAATAGAATTTGAATAAGTCAAATTATCAAGATTTGCTACAATAATAACCTCACACGGTTTTTATATGGTTTTGGGGCCCCAGAGTAAATCAAATCTAAGCCTTTTAAGTCTTGCACCTCCATTTGATATTTTTTGATTTAATTTGAATTTAAATGAATAAAAATCAAAATAAATAAGATAAAAGTTATCATGATGCATGAATGTATTTAGAGGTTCATGATGAGTTATGGAGCACGTTTGAACCTTAAAAGATAAGTCCATTAGCCCAAAAATTCAAAGTTTCTCAATTTGAGTTTCATGCATTTTCTCAAAATTGCCCAACTTGCACCAATCATAACTCTTTCAATTTTCAATATTTGAAGGTGATCTTGGACTTTTTAGAAACATCAATATGTCCCCTACAATCTCTATGTTGACCATTTTTCCATTTGAAGACTTTATCTTGATGTAAGTTTCTTTGAAAAAAAGTGTCTTTTTGTTGACTTTTAAAATGACATGTAATGTTTTGGTCCATATCTCTCAAATGAAGAATTTTTTGGCCTTGAGCATAGAGAGACAAAGTTGTATAGAATTGAGTTTAATTCAAGATGAGATTTGGTTGAGAATTTTCTGATGAAGCATGTGAAAGTTATGCTTGGTCAAAGTTCAGTTGACTTCTCGTAAAGAAAATCCTAATTTGGCAACTTTTGACTTTTGATGAATCTTTAGTCTTCTTGATGAATCATGATCAACCTTTTAACAAATGATGAATGTAACTTAAAAATATTATTGTTGACCAAAAATCTTGAAATTTGACTGTATGTTGACCATAATTGACTTTTTACCTAATAGAGTTGATTTTCAATCACCTGAACAATTGGCTGAGCAAATTTGTGATATAAGGCTTGAAACTTGATATGAGGATTCTTTGAAGCATAAAAGAAACCATGAAACTCATTTGAGACATTAGAAGTCCACTTTCCTCTAAGAAACCCAAAATTCTAATTGTAGGCCACTACTTAGGAGGAGGATCATCTGATCATTCTTGAGTAGTCTTAAACACTTGATAACCTTAGGAGCATGAAAATATCTTTTGAAATGGAAGGATAAATTTGGGGGTATAACACCTCTTCAAATTATATGCCTTATATTTGCAAAAAAATCCTTTGCAACTAATCGAGTCTTATGCTTGATTATTTTACCCTTGGGATTTGCGTTCGCTTTGTACATCTATCTCACACCAATTGGATTCTTTCCTTTCAGTTGATCAACCAACTCCCAAGTCTTGTTCTTCTCAATCGATTCCAGCTCATCCTTCATAGTCCAAATCCATTTTGGATCACTTAATACCTCTTCCATTTTAACAATTTCAGATTCACCATAAGTGCAAAATGGACGAAATCACCATTATCATTGTCTTTGTTAACTCGGAACAACTCACAGTCTTGGAGGCAAACCTCTTTTCCTTATTGATTTTCTCACATTTTCTTCCATTCGGGCTTCGAAGGAGGTTGTTTATGCACTATCAAGCATTGTAAGAACTTTTTCTTCATTGTCGTAAGCGATTATAGATTTCTAGTGATCGATTACAGGATGCCGCAACTTCTTGATTTCATAAAAAATAGCGTCCCGAATAATCATGGTTCTTCTATTTGCTTCATCATACAACTTGTAACCATTGGTAAGTAACATCCTACAAGTATCATTAATTCTCCCTTATTATCCATCTTCTATCTAAGCTTCCCTGACACATGTCGATGTGTTACTGAACCAAAAACTCTCAAATGATTCAGATTTGGTTTAAATCCAGATCATGCTTTCTCTGATGTTATCTTCTCAAGTTTTTTTGTTGGACATCTATTCAACAAATATGCAAGCATGGACACCGCTTCTCCCTATAATATTTGACATTAAGAGCTTGGTTCGATCCATCAAACACGTAGTGTACAACATGAGTTATGTCTCCAATGAAAGAATCTCTACAAACCTATCCACCATTGATACGAAGAATTACGACAAACGATACAATCAAATGAATGAGTTGTTTGGCTACCAAGATGTTCTTGAAGAGATCAAGAACGGTGTGAATCCTATTGTCGAATGTGCAACATAAGCACAACGAGAAACACACAAAGGAAAAAAAGAAGAAATATTTTAAGACATTGTTTTTAATCCATCAATGCGTTGATATTAGATAATTTCGAAAAAGTTGGTGATTGTGAATCATCAAAGTAAACGTGAAAAATCTTAGAGAAAGCATACACATGTTAGAACTTAGAACCACAAAATTGGTGAAATTGAGTAAATTGAGTGGAGAGAGAGTTAAAAATATTAATTGAGGGTGAAAATATGTTCTGCATGTTCATTCATTGATATTATATATACAATTACAATAGATTATTGATACACAAGTAACAAACTCAATAAAATAAAATTGAAAATTGTCTGTTGGTTATAGTTGTTTCTAAAATAAAAACTCAACATCAACATAGTAGTAATCGATTACACCGGTGTTTCAAAGATAAAAAATATTACACCTTATAATTGATTATCAAAATGCAGAAACCGATTAGTTAGAGCACTATTTTTCACAATAATGTACACAAGAACGTGATCAACTCATAGTTCAAAAATTGAGGACAACTTCCTTGTAATGCATACGTCATATATTTATAATTCATAAACATAGCCTGTGTGATAGCATTAGTAATACTTTAGTTCTATTTTTTATTTCTAGACATATACAGCATATTGGATACATGTGCTTATTTATCTTCTTGTCTAAAAGTTGTGTCATCCACCGTACCTTTCTTCCGTACTCGACAAAAGGTATTGATAAACGCGTTTTAAGAAAAATCAAAATTCCATCCATCAAAGTAGTTAATTAACAGATCCAATTTTATTATTTAAAATCACCGACAACCGCGTATTCAATCTATAAAAACCACGCGTTTTCCTTAAGGGTCATACGTAGTACATGAGTAGTACTTGCTTGTTTAAGAAAACCAAATAAATCTTGTTGTTCCTAGAGAAAAATGGGACCTCTTATGATTTATTCATGTAACATTGTTTGGTATCTTTTATTGGTTTTATGTGTAGTACTTAGAATCCACCTTGTCCAAGCTAACGGTTGGCTTAGCGCTCATGCAACGTTCTATGGGGCCAATCAAAGTCCAACCAGTCTTGGTAACATATGCCTTTGTATTCTAGTCTTAAAAAATTTCTATCACTAACTTATTCACCGTATCATATACATATCGTATCCCATTCACATATTGTGTCCGTATTTCTTTGATTTGACTTCATTGTAGAACTCACTTATTTCTCTTTAATATAAAAAATAAAATAAAAACCTTGTGATTTTTTAACATAATTTTAATTTTTATGAGAATTTCAGGAGGAGCTTGTGGTTATGATGATACCTTTCATGCTGGATTTGGAGTGAACACTGCAGCAGTAAGCACTATGCTTTTCAGAGAGGGTGAGGTTTGTGGTGCTTGCTACCAAGTGATATGCGACTATAAAATAGACCCAAAATGGTGTCTTAGAAGTCGAAGTGTCACAATAACTGTGACTAATTTTTGTCCTCCAAACAATCACGGTGGATGGTGTGATCCTCCTAACCATCACTTTGATATGTCCATGCCTTCTTTCTTTAACATTGCACGACAAGGCAGTGAAGGCATTGTTCCTGTGCTTTATAGAAGGTACGTAGAACAAGAACACAATTTCTATGTTATACCATATGAAAAATCAGCGATCATGATTGATATATTATATACTTGATGAGCAGGGTGGCATGCAAAAGAAGAGGTGGAGTTAGGTTTACATTGAAGGGGCAATCAAACTTCAACATGGTGATGATAACAAACGTGGGTGGGAGTGGTGATGTGAAGGGAGTGTGGATGAGAGGATTGAGAAGTGGAGGTTGGTTGGCAATGCATAGAAATTGGGGTGCGAATTGGCAGAGCAGCGCAGATCTAAGGAACCAGAGACTCTCGTTTAAGATTAGTTTGGTTGATGGTAAAACATTAGTGTTTCTCAATGTGGTTCCTTCCAATTGGAGATTTGGACAGACATTTTCATCCCACACTCAATTCTTTTAGTTTCTCATCATCAGCTGGAGAATCAGAGACATATATCATCTCATACAAGCCTTCGCTGGAGGATATATCTATTTATTTTATTTTTATGATTTATACCATTAACTACTTGATCTATCATCTCATAGAAATTTAACATTAAATATTCCGGAATATGTTCTATGTAACTTGTTATATAATTCATATTGTTGCTCAGAAATTAAAAATGCAAAAATAGTTATTTTTCCATATCGCAAATGTCATTTCATTTTATTTTATTTGTTTTAAATTATTTGTTTCTTTAGAATACAATCTATCATTTATTATTACTAACTCATTTTTGGGTTGTACGGATAAATTTTATTAAATTATTAATTATAAGTATCATAGATTAAAGAAGCAATTTTGAATATATTTAAATTATATAAACTTTTTTTATATATTCAATGTATTTTTTAGTAAAAATTCAACTTTTTACCTCTTGTAAAATAATTAATAAAAAATAATAATCTATATTTTTAATATAATTAAAAAATTATGAAAAAAGCAGAGACAATAAACACTATAAAAAAAACTTATATTTCTCAGAGGAATTAGCTAGGGGTAAAACCCCACCCAAAAAAATAATGATGTTTGGGGTAAAGTCTCTCGCAATGCATAATTTAAAATAAATAAAAAATAGTATGAGGTTACCCGTCGCCAATATAAAAGAGGGAAACATTTGAATTTTGAAAAAATAAATTACGAGGGAAAATTCCTATCTAAATAAAATAACACCAAAAAGTCACTTCATTATCAAAATGTTCAGATATTTGTGAGAGGTTATCCCACGTAATCTGACAAGATTATATTTTCGAGGGGCTCCCCCACGCACTATGGACAAGCATGCATCCAACTCACGAGGTAGTCAGACCGCGCCTGCAAATGATGTTTCCCAGGCAAGCGAATTGCGAGGGGATCCTCTACGCAATATGTTACCTTTTTTTTGCAAGGGGTTATCCATTGCCCATGTGTTTGCATTTATTTTAAAGTCGCTGAATCTTCCGCTTCAGTATTATTATAAGTTACAAAATTTATATTTCTCACACACCATTCCCTTCCCTTTCCCTTTCCATTCACGCACACTTCACTGTAAAAAATTTTCATCTTCTTCCATTCAAGCTTCAAGTTCCAGATCAGTTTCTCCATTCCAAAATAAAAAAAGTGAAGTAATATTAATATATGATGCAGTTATATAGTTATTTTATTTTTAGATTTTTATTATAATGTTAATTTTATTTTGCTTTGTGTTTTTTTATATCAGTTATTTCTTTTAGATGAGTAATATTTTGGAGGAAAACTTCAAATTTGACAGGAAAATTTTCTTTAATTCAGGTACACATATAAAAAAAAAATAATTTATGCATGTGTGTTTAAAATGGAGATTTATTCTTATATATATATATATATATATATATATATATATATATATATATATATATATATATATATATATATATATATATATATATATATATATATATATATATATATATATATATATATATATATATATATATTTGTTTGGTGTGATTATGCTTATATATTTATATATAAATTTATTTATTTTTTAATTAATTTATCATTTAAATTTTAGATTACGTATAACTAATTATTTTTTTATTTATTTAATTAGCGTGAAGAGTTAGGTAGAACTTCACTTCTTAATGAGCTATATATGGAGACTCATCTTAAGAAAAATGGAGAGTTTGTTGACGAGCGCACAAGAAACACTCAAGTAAATTTTTCTTATATTAAAAACAATTTATTTATTTCCTTTATATGTACCTAGCTTATTTAAATCATTATAAGATTTAATTTTTTTATAGAAGTTTGATAGACAACTTGCCCTAACGTTATCAGAGCATCCTGAATTACCTGGAACACCATCGGGATATCATGTTGACCCTAGTGTAGGTTTTCATACATGATATATGATATTTCATGTGAAAAGAAGAGAAATGGGAGAGTGTATGGTGCTGGAGGGTACACCAAAACTATCAAGCGGTGTGATATGAGTTTCAGAATGAGACTTACTGATGGAGAAGGAACATCAACTCCACCTATATTAACCGCCGAAATGCTTGAAACTATGAGAAACTTGGTGAATATTGAGGCAACACTCCAAGTAGCAGCAAGAAATGCAGAAATTGAAGAGATGAAGAAAAAATAATTAGAGATGCAACAAGAAATTCATAGAAGAGAAACAGAGTTGCGGGAAGAAATGAGGAGGCAAGTAATGGAGTATCAAGAAGCAATATGGATTGTGTTGTACCCCAAAATTTGCCCTCGTTTATTTCCACAAGAAATCACAGCTTCGGGTTTTTCCTGATTTTTCAGATTGGCATAAGAATCAGTCAAACAGACTTTTCTTATCAGTCAGACAAAATTAGGGGTTTCTTCGATTTTAAAGCAGTTCAGGAAGATTGCTAAGGTTTGGTTAAGTTGGCTCAGCTTTTGATCAGGCGGACGCTTCTTTGACATTTAACCAAAAACCAGGGTTTTGTGCGCGCATTCTCAGAAAGAATTAATTTTACAGTTCTTTTCAGTTTACTCTGAGATTTGGATTGAAACATTTGAATTGAGAACTTGCAGTTGTTTTGTTCAATCAGTAAAGGCATATGGACGTTTGTTTGATTTGACTGTGCATTGCTGTGGCTATTTGAAACGCCAGGTTTATTATTGATTGATGTTAAGACCACAGTGTTTATCAATTGTTTATTTATTCTAAGATTAGAATAATTAGGATTTATTTCCATTTTATTATAATTTAAGAATTATAAACAATTAAATAAACATTTGAAGGAGAATTAAAATTAACTGATAAAAAAAAGGATGTTTATTCATTTTGAATTGTTTGTTACAGATATTATTTAAATACTGTAAATTTATTTACAGTTATTTACATTAATATTATTACAAATAATTTAAATAGAAACAAAACTATGTCCTAAATTTCCTAAGTCTTCATCTTCTATCCAATGCTCCTTTGCTCAATTATCTTTACCTGCAAAAACAAAGAAAAGAAAAAGTCAAATGCAGATAAAATAATTAAAGAGCAGACAGATAAAAATTGGATTCATCATTAAAAGCAACTGGCCGGAATCAGTTTGCCCTCTCTGCAAATCACAAGATTTCTCTTGGTTCACAAAGAGGGATGAAAGTTTGCTTGCAATTAAAGTATGAAATGCACAAGTATACAAATTGCACAAATTCAAAATGGTCAAACAAACTGCATAGTTCATGATTCAAAATTGTCAAGCAAGACTGCATAAAATGCCAAACAAAATCCAAAGGCAAACTGAACTGAACTAGGCCTAACCAAGGTCACAAGTTCAAACTATCCAAGGCTGTCAAAAACTGCCAAAAGATTATCAAAAGGGCTATCAAAGAAGTACATAAAGTATGCAGGAAAGCAGGAATATGAAGAGTAAACCAACAATGCAAGCAAACTCTTTAAATCACATCATTTCCCAAAAGCCAGTTACTTATTCAACATAGGACAAACATAAGCAATATTAAAATGCTTTTAATCTGTCAAGAGAGAGAAGAGAAAAAGAAAGGCTTACAGGCTTAGGCTTGACTTAAGATATAAAGAAAGTATACCAGCACAGTTTCAGGAGGAGCAGAAATAACACAAGAAAAAGAACACAAACAAAACTGTAACATTGAAACACAGAGCTGCCTCCAAAACTCACCAAAAGCCTTCACCTGCATCTATCTAAAACCATAAGTCACAAACCTTTCAAACTGTGTCCAAAATCATAAAATCTCAAGTAAGCATTCAAAGCTTCAAACCTGTGACAAGCATAAACTCAAACAGCAAGCCATGAACCAGAAGCCTAAACTATCCAACAAGAGCCTCAAACCTGTGCCAACTCAGTATATTTCAAAGCCTCTAAAACCTGCTGAAGCCTCAAACAGAAGCCAAGCCTGTGGCCTGTAACCAAGCCTCAGACCTGCATCAAGCCTTAAAGCCTAAATCTGCATCAAGCCTCAAAACCATACAAAACCTGCATAAGCCCCTTATCCAAACAGTATTCAAACTAGTAAGCCTAAAACTGTCCAAAGCCATCCAAACATCCCACCCAAACATCCAAATAAACCTATTAGTTGCCTCAGAATGATCATCATAGGCTAGTAAAACGAACAGGAGAGAGGAAAAGAAGTGAAACAATAAGTTAGGCAACTCAAATCAGCACACAAGCAATCCAAACCATCTCAGAATCAACAAATGAAGCAACCAAACCCTCAGAGCTAGGCTCATCACAGGGTTAACATACAGAGGCAAGCAACTCAGCAATATCAGTATACCAAGCATATCAGAAATCAGCATATCAAGCAAACAAGTTTGCAAACATACGAGGCAAAGAGGCAGAAGAAGAAAAGAAGTGATTGAAGCAAGGTTTTCAGGCATTTCATCATCAAACCAAAAAGTAAGACAACAGAGTACCAGGTTTTCCAGCAAGAGCAACTCTCAGCATCGCGTTCTCCGTCTGTCCACCCTAGGCGCCTCCTCCAGCTCTCTCCTCCATTTTCAAAAGACAACAAAGGTATAACTTTTCTACTTTTTTTTTCTTCACACCTCACATAACAATAATAGTGTTAGAGATTAGAATTTATCAAGGAGTAAAAAACGTGTACAAACTAGAAACCCTAAAAATATAAGTTATGAGATCGTTACCTTGCAAACGTCGCCGCCTGTGTGACCATGGGAAAGGAGAGAGGGAACGGCGCCTGGCAACGAGGACGGAGGGGCGTCAGTAAGCCATGTTCGATTTGAGAGGATGAACAGGATAGAAACGAAGTGAACGGCGCTGTAACTCAAACCATAATCCCAAATGACACAGAACTATTGCAACCCTTACAAAATGTTCACCAACTTGCCTTGGGCCTTGCCCTTTTCAGTTTGCTTAAGCCCATTAGGCGTGCACCCCCCTTTCTTTGATTCTCAATCAGTTTTTTTGTTTGGGCCAGCATAAGTC